AGAGCGACGACGCCCAGGCGGTTGCTCAACGCGCCGAAGAAGTTCGCCAGCTCGCCCGACTCCTGATTCAAGACCAGCAACGCGTCGACGCCGGCCGCTACAACCTTCGTCGCAGGGACGTCCACTTCCAGCCCGGAGATAGGGTGTGGGTATGGACGCCCATCCGTCGCCGCGGCCTCAGTGAGAAACTGCTGAAACGGTACTTTGGACCATACAAGGTACTTCGTCGCCTCGGCGAACTGAACTACGAGGTGATGCCCGACGGAACACGAACATCGTCACGCCGCCCACCACGACCTGAGGTCGTCCACGTCGTGCGCCTGAAGCCGTACTACACTCGATAGGACTGTGGACATTTTGTGCTCCAAAAGACTCTTTAGTTTATCGTTCTTTTTTATTTTGATTTGTTTTACACTGCATCGGGGCGATGCACTTTTAAAGGGGGGAGTAATGCCGCGCGCAAGGCTGAGAAAGCAACGCTCGGTCACGGTCCTCCAGAAAGTTCCCGTTTATTCATGTACCGCACGTAACTTCTATCATTTATCCCTGCTTTTGTTTTCTAGAAAGTGCGTGTTCATTCTCGCCCCGATCACGCGACGCTCGAACCGCTTTCGCCGAATCTTCGAGATAGCGGCGCACTCTAGATAAGAGGCCGCTCGCGACCTTGTCGAGTCAGTCTCGCCCCAGCGTTCGACTCTGTTGCCACGCCGACTTCGACGCCCGCGACGCTCTATTATTATCTTTTGTACTCTTTTATTTTTGGCACAAGTTCGCCACATTAAACGTTTATTTCTTCTTGTTTATTTCCTGTTTTCTTTTGGTCACCACCCGTGACAATATGTACACCTAAAAATGGGGTGTATCAGTATTCCCAGTAAGTGAGAAACGGAATATATGTACACCCCGGGGTGGGGTGTGTCTTATGCACCCGCTGAGGTGCACATGTGCACCTCAAAATGAGGTGCATGTATGCACCCCTTTTTGGGGTGTCGCATATATACCCATGGGGGTGTCGTATATGGGACAAGTCACATACACCCCACTGGGTGTAAGTACTACACCCTTTTTTTTTAGAGTGTGTACTCATAGAACGCGTTCGAATGCGAGAGCCAAAGGCCTCCTGCGCTGAAGCTTTCAACAAACTGCAGCGCCCTCATTTCGGGTAGTACAAGCTCACCTGATCGAGCCTCGCACTACTTATGGCACGTTGGTGGAGCTTTATTGATTCCGTGTGATGCTGAAAAACGAAAAAAAAAAAAAAAAACTTTGGACGCCAGAAATCGGCCAGACTCAACGTTGCAAGACAATCGAAAGGGATAAATTTATGACACCACCGCTAGGGCACGCGTCTTTTATATCTGGGTGGTGACGTCAGAACACTCGTGTCGCGACGCTTTCATTTTTTTTCTTTCTTTTTCATGTCTACTTTGGAACATAGAGTTATTACAATAAACGCTAGAGGCTCAGTTGGCGCTAGTGTCTATGGGACTTCCGGTTGCAAATTGAAGCAGACAGCATGCAGTCCTTTTCCAGTCTTCCTGTGTATTCCTCTGGGAAAACGCGCGTGAATTTTCTCTCGTCGCCAAAAAACAACATTAATAACTTTTGTTATTTCGGTTGTACCGGGTAGTATGTACCTTTATTAATATTGTGTAAGTGTAATTGCTTTAGTTACAGCATTTTTCCTTTACCACTGAACGATGTTAAACTTCGCTATATTTCAGGCCCAAACCTCTGTTCCATGGCAGGTATGTAGAAACGAGCGACGATTCTAAGCAAAATAACGATCGAAAGGAATGTAGAGTGTGGTCAAAATTCGCCAGCATACCGCTGGTGCTTATATATTGCTAATATGCCTGTCCTCTCACTATATGAAAATGACCCCGTCGTGCATCTCTACGAGCGGTTAAAAAAAAAAAAAACGTTCGAAACGTAAAGAATAAAGTACGCGGGCTACGAAAGGTGTGTTTTCTTATTATTTCCTATGTTGGGCAGTTTTTATCGCGCACCTGTCCTCTGGCTTCCCCCTATTTGCAAAAATTTGGAGCGTGCGGGTGATGATTTGAACACAAAACAAGCATCTTCGCACATATTCATGAGCAGAAAGAATAAAGCAGTACTTATTTATTGCAGATCGGACTACATGACGTGACTTTCAACTTATTTTGATCGTCTGCAAGCACAAGGAGTTACTTACCCAGTGTTACTGCGTAGTTCTTGCCGTCTCTCTTGGTTTTCCACATGTCGTTCGTTCGTTTGGCACGTATATCCCCCATGCTGGAAAGCGTCGACGCCGTGTTCGCGCTAACAGTGTTCGACAGTGCACATAAATACACGTACGAAGCGGTTTTAACACCGTTTTTAATGCCGCGAATTTCAAATAAAAATGCTGTAACTGACCAATTATTTCGTCTGCGTGACTGAGAAATGTTCCAATGTGCCTAGTACGTACAAATTATTCGTGATATTTGCTCTTATAATCGAGCGCAGAAAGAAATGCACTCGCTTTTTCCCATAGAAATGCATTACCGGAAGTTAATTTCTGACTGCATGCTGTCTGCTTCAATTTGCAACAGCACACTAGCGCCAGCTAAGCCTCCAGCGTTTATTGTAATAACTCTATGCTTTGGAACGCGTGAAAGGGCATCTCTTGGCTCACGCTCTTAGCGTCTAAGCTTTGACGGCGTTCGAAGTTTTGTTGTTCCTTTGTATTTTCATCGTGATCTCGCGCTCCGCACCAGAGCAGGCACGCTTCTGCATGCATGGCAGTTTGAGACGCTAAAATTTGTACTACCCAAAACAAGTCCTAAACAGTCCCTTTTCGCAGCACCCCCTGGGCAACGCAGGAGGCTCAAACGGCGGGCGCCGGCGTTCCGCGTTCTTGAGCATTCGGCGAGTGCAGTTGAGACAAAGCAGCTGACTTTAGGTCTACCAACTAATCATTCCAACCAGAGCTCGGCATTCTGACGTCCCTACACGCTCATTTTCTCCCCTTTTTCAGTTTCTCGGTGCATATTCAGAACTGTCGTAGGTTCGCGGGGATGTCGTGTCATAAATAATGAGAACGAGACCGTTGGCTTTCAGAATTGTTTAAACAAAGAAAATATAAGGAAAAATATTTACAGCAATGGTATTAGCAAAGGTTCTACCAAAACTTTTAGAACAGCGATATCAGTAGACGTTACACACGCGGCTTCCACAGTTCTTAATGGCAATAGAAAAATGTTCGTCATACGTTGGGTCTTGGAGTCTTCTGTCGTTGCGAAGGTGGAGATGGCTGAGCGGGCGGAGTGTTGGGTTCCGGGTCTTCAGAAGTCCGGACGAACCCAGCGAGGGCGGAGGGCAGGCTGACGAGTCTCTGAGTTCCCGGCCTTGTGGAACCGGGACGCACTCAGCGGGAGCGGTGGCCAGGCCAGCGCATTCTTGAGTTCCCGGCCTAGTCGAACCGGGACAAACTCAACGGTCAGCCAGCTAGCTCCTCGGACCGCTTGTCTTCTTCCCCCTCTTTTCGTTCTTTTTCGCTCGTGCCTTTTCTCCGGCCGTCGACGGTATACCTCGTGGCACGCGGGGCCACGTCATGGCGAAAACATCTGTAGCCCGGTGATGGGTCTCAGCCGCGCACATCACAAAAACATTGTATATATATATATATATATATATATATATATATATATATATATATATATATATATATATATATATATATATATATATATATATATATATATTACCCGTATAGTGCAACACTTCGGTTGGGATAAAATCTCTCACCTCCCAATTTTACACCAAGTAGTTTATTTAGCTTGTAAAAATAATTCCTGTAAAATTACCGCAAGGATCCAAATATCCACTAAATTGTGTCTACTAGTAGAAATGCCCCGCCCCCCCCCCCCCCCCTTTCCCCACCGCCCTTATAAACCTATCCAACTCAACGCCTAAAATATTATAAACTACAAAAGCAACCCCCCACAAATATTATGAAACCATACACGTGTGAGCACTTCAAGCGTATAGCTTTCAAATATAGACGCGTGTGCTTCTTTTCTTGCTAAATGCTGTTTTTTTTTGTGTGCCTTTTTTATTTTTGTTATTTTAGAGATTAATTAAGAATCAAGACCAAAAGATTACTTGGCATTATTCTGAGCATAATTTCCGAGCTTATCGCACTAGCCTACTCGGTCACCCATGTAAGCCGCTGCTCCTAGTAGACCGGTGCAAAGCGGTGAAGCTCGATGCGTGCGCTGGTGAGAGGCGGCGCGAAACGGATGCGCCAGACATGATAATCAAGCGATGTCAACAGGAGCACGAGACCCTGGTTCTGTCTTATCACAGTAGCCGCCACTCTACTATTTTGCAATGTTTTCTCGCTATATTTCACTTCCGATAACGCCGACAATAGAGAGTTTTAGCAGATCGTTTTTTTGCCCCGATAACAACACGCGATAACGATAGGATGCATGCCCAAGGCCGCCGGAGGGGAGAGGAGGTATCGTTATCGGGGCGAAAACATTGTCTGCTAAAACTCTCTGTCGTCTGGAAATTCAGGCAATGTCGGCGATCGACCCGCCAGCGCATTAACCAGCCAGCGCGGTTGAGGAACAAATTTTCAACTTCGTTTCCCTTAAATAAAAGCGCAACCGACGCTACAACCAATAGGGAGTTTTCGTAGATAGTTTTCGCCGTCCCGCAAGGCACTCCGCAACCCGCTACGATAGCGGGAACTCCACAGTCAAGGCTATCGGCGCGCAGGCGCAGTAGCAACTTCTTCGTTGCGGAACGCTTAGCGGAGGGGGCAGCGCGGTCTACGAAAACTCCCTATTTTTACGATCCGAACATCCTTTTGCCTTTTGTTCAAAATGAGAAGTGAATGATTTTAAAAACAAAGTGCCTCATAAACCTGCTTGACAGTCTAGCCCAATAGGAAACCTGATAGACTAGATGACTGCGTCATTTCCCCTCTGATCTTTGCGATCAATCTCTGGCCCAACATGATTCCTTAGGGCGAGGAGGGTGTGACCCAGATGCTCGAGATCTTGAGAAAAGAGCTGGATCTAGGAATGGCACTCATCGGTAAGTGCGATTTTAAAGTTTCTCCGATGATATGCTCATTTGAAGCGTCAAGCTAGAAAATAAAATCCGTCATCAAAGTGGAATTTTTCACAAGTAGATTGGTGTCGTAGACGAACTTTGTCCATTCAAGCGTGAAGTTTAGTAAATAAAATAATTTGTCTCCTTTTATATTCAAAAATGCGTAATAGTCGGACGTATGGGAATGTTTCGCCGAACGGGTGTTTTCAGCACTCAATGTTGGAGGAAATCGGACAAAATGTTTCCGAACAAAATATCCTGGAGAAAATTGTCCTAGAAAATATTATCCGAAAGAAATGTAGGGTTTTGTAGTGCTCCCCGGGTTGTTCTTTTATGTGCTGGGTACATTTCGAACATATAAGAATAAAAATATTTGCAAATTACTAATACATATTTTAATAAGAAAATAAACACTACTTTAGATTCATTGGAGTAGAGCATGCTTCCAATTAAAACTGAAAACTCACCACTGGGAACTATCTAGTGCCAGATCACTGGATAGGGAGTGGTGGGATGATGATGATGATGATTAGGGTTTTAATGGCGTAGTGACAGCGTAGGCCATATTGCGGCAATTCCAATTTATTTAGAAGGCACTAAAATGGGGTTTGAGATAGTAGGACACAAGTTACAACTGGTGTAAATGTTCAGTCTTTTTCAAGACATCAAAAATTCGCTCAAACGGTACTAAAGGGTAGTCAGTAAGTAAAAATATTGAAGGAAAGCGAAGATGACCTCTGCAGAGTTCCATAAAATGTGCAACACTGTCAGCCCTTTCCCACGATGGCCAACTAGCTTTACATCTTCGCTACAAAGAAGGTGTAGGTGTGTCAAGCGTCCATGACTAATTCTTGGACGGCAAAGCAGAAGCTCAACACGGTTTCCCTTGTGGAACGCGTTTTCCCAGAGTGTCGACATAGGCTTCATGACATGCAGTTTGTTGCCACATTCTTGTCCCCCTTTAATTGCCATGACCCCAAAAGTGTTTGTTTCAAAGTGGTCTAAACTCTTGGGGGGGAAAGGAGGGGGGAAACCACGTGTCGTTATCAGTGAATCCTTGGCAGATACAGGCAATCTATCTGCCTTCCTCCTTCACTAGAATTCCAAAATGACTTGGTACCCAACAAAGGCTTATGCCGCATCCGAGTTGAAAAGCTTTATTCATTTTACCTCGTGATATAGATGCATGAGGCATGCCTTTCACTCAGCACGCCTGCTTGTAGTTCCCTTTCAGCAGGGACTCAAACCGAAAAATATAACGTTTCGGTTACGGTTAGTGTTTCCTGTTGATATCGGTTTCGTTTCGGTTTTTTACGGTTTTAATTTTTCCAGTTTCAGTTACCGGTTCCTAAAAATTGGTTTATTTTGTTTTCTCCAATAATTTGCTTTATTGAAATGCTAGACAGCCGTTTTATAATAAACGGTTTAAAGTAGTTCCATATATCCAACAGCGGGACATTCACAATAACAAGAACTCAAAAACGTCTTAGTACTTCTAATTAGTAAAAAGTTCCACACGTTTCAAGCTCCAACACTTGTTCACTACGTATATTTGCATAATATATTTTGATACCGAGGCATAGATATCACCCCCGCTACTCGGGGATCATCGCATTTTATATAATAAAAATAAGCATCGCTACTTTGTTGCTGGGCTGCGTTTGTAAACAACGCTCAAAAAGTTCCCACTGGGTGCTAAAAGAACCAGTTGCACCTTTTCGTCGCTATAGTTTGTTGCAACCTAAGATATCCAGAAAAGGCTTCGCCTACACTGAAGGAAAGGACAAAACTCTAGCCCTCCTCACGTAAAATACTGCTAAGTGAAATAAAGTGATAAAATTGGGAGCTCGACTAGTTGGTAAAAGTCAAACAATGTAAATGCAATAGCGCAAAAGAAGCAAGACTTAGAAGGGGAACGAACAGCACAGAAAGCTATAAAATTATGGTCTGTGTTGTTCGTTGGTTTCCCTATACCTCGTTATTGTACGATGTTACACCTACGCCAGGTTTTCTATTTCCAAGCAAATGCATGTGGTCATGGAAGCGCACGTTTCTCGCTGTCAGATTCTGCGGCGCTTGAAAACTTGTGCATTTATGTAGTAGCGCCATTTTTCTCCGTGGTTTGGAGGCGTAGCATCTTCTACAGATATGTTGCAAGGCAGGTCACAAACTTCCATCGAGCCAGATTTTTACGTCGAACTTCATGGTTCGACTGGTTCGACGAACCTTCGATCTTTTAACCAGGTTCTGCAAGGTTAAACTTTGTGGACAGTATGGCTAGATTTTGAAACAAGCAAGTCTAGGTTTGGAGAAATCGTTTTTACGGAATAGGTTTCTTTCTTCTACAAATACAGTGATCGGAACACAATTCTAATAACGTAAAAGTTATTAACATCTAATATATTTTAAACAACCAAACAGTAATTCCCTTACTAAAGTCAACGTTACAAAAACACTCAGTCAGGAAACTTACCCTTGAAACACGGCAGTTCGCGTCCACCGAGACCGAACTAAATACGATAACAAGACGCCGTTTAGCGACGAGTCAAAACATGTAAGTTCATTTACATAGCTACTGGGAAATGGCACTGCGAGATGGTGCCACCGGCTCTTGCGGGACTCTATCTAAACCACTACGTGCAGCCGAGCAGTTCCCGGAGCGGCCGCTGCGGCAGGAATGGCGGCGTTGCGATCGCCTTTAGTTCGGTTCTCGAGTACCGATCGGAGCCGCTTGTACAAAGCGAGCTCAATGGCAGTTTCCCAGCTGAGTTGCTCTAGTAACGTTGCTAAAAGTAGAATGTTCGACATGTTCATTTAGTCATCACCATCCAATCCAAAGCCAAATGAGCCAGCCCGCCGTGCATGCACATAACAGTCGAACCTTAATCGAACTTTCTCGACCTTTTCAATAAAAGTTCGAAAACGTCGAACCTGGTGGAACTCGAACCTTAACCGGTTCGCGACATCCCTAGTTGCAGGTCAGGAACATCGGCTGTTTTGAAAGAAACGAGTTGGTTGGACATCTCAGAATTCTAACTTATCAGTTAACACCCTGAAAGCGACACACACTGAATACATGTAGCGATTGTAGGAGTGTGTCAGAGAATTTTAATTATAGGCCCGGCCACTGATTCCAACAAAGTATTCTTAATCCGAAATATAGATTGAACGGAAAGGTATAACCGGATGCACCACTCGCTGCCGGTACGTCTGTGAAGTGGCCACGACATTTCAAGACCCCCCCCCCCCCCCCCCCCCCCCCCTCGAGGTCATTCTCGAGAAAAACTAATATTTGTTATTTTTCGGTTAATATTGGTTAATATCGCGGTTACTGGTAAATAATTTACGGTTACGGTTTTCATAAATTTCAAATAACGGTTTCGTTTCGGTTCCGGTTACTGAAAACATTTTGTTCCTAAACGGTTTTTGGTTTCGGTTTGAGACCCTGCTTTTGAGTCAACACAAAACTTGAGCAAAACCAAACATTAAAGGGGCACTGACACAACAAAGTAATATTTTTTTCTTTTATTATCCGAAACGATTAAAAACTATACCCGGACATTACCTTAAAAATTCGAAACTTGGGAATTCAGTGTTTGTGAAGAAAGAAAAAACAATTTTAAAATGCCGAATTTAAAGTTCCCGCGCTATCCGCGCCAGTGCTGTCACGTCAAATATTGCGGAGTCCTGCGAGTCGACTTTCTTTCACGCTTCCGCTCCGCTCCAAACCAGGCGTTGCCACCGAGACCCGAAGCGAGGAGGTGAGGAGCGAAGAGAAGGGCTCCGGCTTACCGGGAAAAACCGGTTTGGTTTTCTCTGTGTGTGTCGTGTCGCCTGCCTATCGCGGCCAGCAGACGACGCTTGACGTCTGAAAGGCTGCCCCGGCGGAGTAGCGACCGAAACTACTATACACGGACTCCAAACCCAGTTGTTTTGACCGTTCGACGATTTCCTTTTCTAAGTCTAGGAGGTCGTCAGGCCCCTAAAAAAGACCACTTCGTCCAATTCCCCGACTCACCGATCACCCTCTGCTACGGTCGTCGAGCGCCGCCATGTTTTCCGAGGGAGAATACAAATTCAGGAGGCGACATCACACCGGACTCCGATTTTTGGTATTTCAAAAAAGGCCGTAGTGCGTTTGCAATTGTGTTAAAAACAGGTTTTACGATTGACGTCATTGTATGTTATAGAAACGTCCCCCTCAAAGCTTCTAAATTTCATGCTTTTTGACGTCACAAATCAGAAGAAGCCAGGAGGTTAGAAGCGGGAGAGAACGGCGCCAAAAATAAAAAAAAAGGTGCGCGCGCGCGTGGGGTAATATTTTTTTGCAATGTGGTATTTTTTGCGTGTCCATGACTACAATTCGCATCGTTTTAGACAATACAAAAATACGACCGTTGGGGTGTCGTGCCCCCTTAAGTTCTCAAAAAGTGAGTACTTCGCATCGAATTAAAAAAATTAAAGTGGCTTACAGCCCCCTGTAACACCAAATTAGAGCGCAGCTCTTGAAAAGCAGGAGGGAAGGGTACCGAGGGGAGCGTATACCCCTCCTCCATCATCCTCATCCTGCGTGCTACTCCTCCCTCCGAGCGGCGTCAGCGTCGCCGTCGGCGTAACTGTGAGGTCCCGTGCTCCCGTGAGGTCACGTGATCCCCGTGAGGTCACGTGACAGCATCGTGATGACGTCATCGGCATCGTCAGTGATGACGTCACACGTGACGATGACGTAATCCGTGACGTCATCGTGATAATGACGTCATTGTGGTGACGTCATCGCGATGTCGTCACCGCTGATGACGTCAACAGTGACGCCATCGTGACGATGACGTCATTGATGACGTCATCAGTGACGTCACGCGTCTCATAATGCACCGCGCGGTTGCGCCGACGGCGATGGCAACGGCGACGCCGCAAACGGGCGCCTAAGAGCTGGGCTCTAAAATTGGTGTGAGAGCCCAGAGACGCTGTTGTATGCACTAGCG